TGCCCCTAGAACCCACCCGGCCTGTGCCCCCGCCCCGAGGAGGCACCTTGCCCAACCCCAGGCCTCCCCGTGGGGGTTTGCCGTGGCCCTGCCTTGTGTTCCCTTGGGGTGTGCTGGGCCGGGCCCCGTGGGGCTGGGGAGGCGGCATGGGGATGCTCTGTGGCAGGACATGCTGGGGTTGGCGTTCTGGCCAGCGCTCCTGGGGCAGGACAGAGCGTCTCAATAGCGCCTTTCGCCTTGAAGACTTTTACCTGAAGAAATGACAACTAGAGTGTGTTTCCTGGGTGAGCACCAGGGAGAAAGAAGAGCTGTCTCCTCAGTGAGCCTCTCCAGCGGTGCTTGGAACAGCAGTGAGGATGGAGCTGGGGTTGACTGGACCCAAGTGGGGCACTGGAACAGCCCGGCTGTTAATCCTTCCACAAGGGTCTTGGCTTGGCTGCTCTGGTGTTGTAAAAAGGAACTGATGGGTCTGAAAGCTGAACGGCAGTGCTGTGAGAAGAGTTGAGACAAGCCTGAAGTGTTTCCTGAGTGCCTCCAGAGTCTGGGCTGGGAATGAGGGGCACAGGAGTAGGGAAGCCCTGTAGCGCTGTGCCAGCCTGCTGTCTCCCTGCCCGGCCAGGCTGCGGATATCTTGTGGGCGACAGAGTTCAGCCCCACAGCTCGACATCAAAACCCTACCTATGTGACTTCCTGTGATGCAGCTTTGTCATTGCTCTGGACTCCCCACCAAACGTGCGTGTGATGGTCTGGTGGTTTCTAGGCAGTTTGGGGGAATTAACAGCGAATTGTTGGTCTGTTTACAGTTTTATCTAATATTTTTTCCTTTATTCTTAGTGGTTGTACCCAGCAGATAGTGGCACTTGCCTGTCCTTGGTTTTTGCTCTTGCTACAGTTGCTAAGTTTTGTATTAGGCAAACTTTCTTGATGACAAATTTGCCACTCCCGCTCTTTGGTCATGCCTGGGGCCCTTCTCAGTATAGCAGGGATTGCATTGCGAGGACACTGACAGGGCCAAATGCCATTGTCCCCAGATAATGATGCCTGCCTGGACATGTAGTGTCACCGATACAGGTTGAGGGCTTTGGCTTCCATACTGGCCTTGCCAACAGCTATTCCTTGGCATTTCCCAGGTTCATTCCATGCAGCAAGTCTGGGAGTATTTGGCAGCTTCTTGCCAACTTGAATCTCTGTTCCTGCTCCACTCCTGAGCTCCGAGAAACCATTGTATGGAGTGAAGTGGTTGCAGTGCCTCCAAAGGAATCTTTCCCACCCCAGCCAAGACGTGGAAGGGTCCTCATCACATACTGAAGGCCAGACCTGGGAGCTTTTTCTTCCAGTTCCAGATAAGTTTCAGAAAAAAGTATCAAGAAAAGAGGATGGACAAAGATTTTATGTGTTTTGAACTGATTGGGCAGTTCTTGTTTTCTTGCTACATATTGATATTTTATACTTGTTCTACTCACCCCAAGTCTTCCACCTTTAGTTTATTTCTGTGCCAAAGGCTGAGAGCGGGGCCAGGCTGCCTAAAATCAGACTGATCTGTGCTGACTGCCTGTCAGTTCCTGTGCTGATGGCCAAACTCTCCCCAGGTCTTGCTGTGTAATTCTTCTGTAGCTTTTCTCCCATTGTGAAGCACAATTGAGAATGCTATCCCTTCTGTTCACTGTCTGCTTGGATCTGCAGGAAGGTGCTTTAGACCTCCTCGCTGAAAGGCTGTAAAACACTCCATGCTTTAGCTGGTTGCTTTTAGCCCACACTTGTTTCCCTACCCTAGTTTAGGCTGCAAATCAACTGCTTCCACAGCCCAGACAATGGGCCTGGGAGACGCAGAGCTGCACGGTCTGCTGTTGCTGTGCAGCAGGTCCCCTTTGTTTAGGGACTCTGTTAGGGTGGAAAAGTCGATATCCTTCGATAGCGATGGGGACTCCACGTTCTGGACCTTTTGCGCTTTGGTGTAGCCACTGTACTCTCTGGTCACAGCCAGGTCAGCCTGCCTGGGGCAAGCACTGACTTCTTTCAAGCCAGCCCTTTATTTTAGATGTCCCTGGTGTGCTCTCTCCACGGCAGAGCGGCAGCCCTGGATTTTCTGCATAACCACACTGGAATCACTCATCTCATCCAGCACTGTGCTCTGATGCCCTGAGAGCGATGAGAAAGTCCCATGTGAACTCAAACGCGTGAGCTTTCAGTCCCCACGCCAGCCTGTGTGTGCGTGGAGGGAGGCATTTGCTGTGGCTCAAAGCGAGGTGGCAGCTGAATTCCAGCTCTCCCATGGCTTTAAGGTCTGCCTCTCTCCCTCCCCACCACCTCAGGAACGGGAGTGTACGCCAGAGCTGCTCTGTTGCTCTTGCAGGTCAACGCTCTGCTTAGTTCAAGGATTGTTTTTGGCAGCCGTGCACTTCTCATGCCTTCTCTGTTCAGTGTGGAGGGAGTTCAGCACCGCAGCCATTGAATTGAAATGACTAGCCCCAGCGCAAATGCCAGGCACAAATGTAATCCCGGGATGCAGGTGGAATTTGCTGACACATTCCCATGGTGTGTTGTTTCTCACTGGTATCTTTTTTTGACCTGAGTGGCCAAGCAAAAACTTAGTGTCTTCATTAGACGAGAAATTGGTCATCATTCTGTGCCTCTGGTTTTGAACCCAAAACATGGTTTTGCAGGATGATACTGGAGCTGGGAGGGAGCAGTGATGCTTAACTTTATGGCAAAGCATCGTGCAGCTGGTCCCTGTTGGTCCCTGTGCTGCTGGCATTTCTGTGGTGGCTGAGCTGTCTGAGCTGTCTTCTCCTCACGGACTTCTCATGGCCAATAGGACCCTCTGCTCTTCATCTTGAACTTGCGGGCGACCTCGCATGCTGCTTTGGCTCAGTGTGTGACTGCACTTGAGGCCACTTGTTTCCTGGAGCTGATGTAGGTGAGAGTATTTTCCATGCTGCAGAAACACAAGAGTTTGTACCTAGCTACCGGGTGTAAGAGCAGCTTTCGGCACTCTTAATCAGTTAGTTTCAGATCAATGCGCTTGATCTTGTTGCTTTTTAATATTTTTGAAGGGGTACAAACCCTTATTTTGAAATGTGTATTGGTATTAAAACCTGTTTATTTTGCATTGTTGTTAACTCACTTGTTCAAGCTTTAATCCAAAGCCCCAGAGTTCCGAGTGAGAAACTTGGTGTGAACTCAGGCCTCATTTAGAAAAAGATGTTGTCCTGTCTAATACTAAAGAGCAGAAATTGCACCCTGCAATGGCATGAAAAACAATAGCAAATCACAGTTGTATGACTCCCTGCTCCCCCCCCGCCCTGACTTTGGGCTGTGTGAGGCTGACAGCACATTAACAGGTCAGCTTGCAGCTCATACATTTGCAAGCTCTTGTTATTTTAAGTGTGTCACCACAGCTGCGTTTAAAATAACCTCTCCAGCCAAATTCACATGACGGAGGGATGATGTGCAAACCCGGGCTCTTACGGTCTTGTCCTTTCCTGTTAGAAATGGGTCTTGTGAGGAACTGCCACGCTGCTGTTAGAAGTGCCTGCTATGGGGAGGCTTGGGCTGGAATAAGGGACTTCCACTGACGCTTAGTGGGGTGCGCACAGGCTGTGGTGCGTGGTGGCCCCTGCGTGCATGCGATGTGACATTCGTAACGGCTGTGGCAGCGCTCCAGCTGACGTCCCGAAGCTTGCGAGCAGGCTGTGCAATAATAAAAGGTGCTAGCAAAATAACTGTAAGCGAGTGCAGCTGTACAGTCACTCCAACAGTGACAACTTTGGCCTCTATATTGTGTGTCAATAAGTCCAAGCCAAAATCCATTAATTACTAGTAATGATGTTTGGGTTTGACTTCCAGCCCAGCCAGTTCGCCCTGGGCTTTTCCCAGCTCATGTTTCTACAATAAAATTTCCAAGTGTAGTTTTATTGCTGTTGTGAGCAGCAGAATGGACTCCTGCTTCTTTGCCGGAGGGTTGAGTTGGCAGAACTAGGGATTGCATCAGTCTCTGACCTTCCTCCACCCCAAAACTCTGACCGAGTTAAACGTAAAGGGGAAACTTCCCGGACTGGTAACTAGCGGGGATTTACCTTGTGGTTCATGCCTAGAGCCATGGGGATGTGGCAGCTGCTGTCCTGTTGTGCATACAGCCTGCCATGTGAAGGTGCCTCCATCTCTGCTGGTTCTCCTGGATGTTCAACAGCTGCTTTGCTGAGCTGTCCTTGCAGCTAGGATAAGAGCTGGTTTGCAGGCAGATATCAGAGATGGCTGTGCTGGCACACAGGAGGTGGGACAGGAGTGTGGACAGGGGGAAGGACAGGCAGCATAAGCTGGTGCTGCCAGTCTGGATACATCCTGACCTGACCTGTGCAGGGGCATGTTCTTCCTTTCATCCTTCCTGCCCCTATCTCTGAGGTCCTGTGTCTCCACAGGGAAACGGTGGTGGTTACTAGTCATTGGCCAACACAGTCCTCGCCTTGAAACTGTACAAAAGGTCCTGCTGCTTCCTTCTGCAGTGGCTGCTTCTAGTACACCCCTGCCCTGTGTTGGTCCAGCTGCTTCTGCAGCTCCATGGCAAAACCGCTCTGGAGAGGGGCAAGCTCGACACGTTCTTCCGCTGCGGGCCTGGGGACCGTCCCTGGCTGAGCAGGCAGTGGCGGCTAAGGCCGTGCCATGCCAGCAGTACCCCCATGCCTGTGCTGGTCACATCTGTGCTGCCATTGCTCTGGAGTAAGTTGCAGGGTCACACAGGGCTTCTGCTGGTATACTCGCGTCTCTGTCTAAGCTGGCTGTAGGATTCACGTCCCTTGTTACAGCTTCATTAGGCCAAATCACTTTTATTTTTATAGCAGGATGATCCACTGATAGCTGTAAAGCCGAGTGGAGATGAGGCACAGGTGGCTTTCACTGCAGGCTGGTTTTGCAAGGTCATTCACAGCCGGGTGAGAGCACAGGCGATGGCCAAGCTGGCAGCACATGTGGTGACACCACAGTGGCAGTCCCATCCAGGCAAGGATGCCAGGGACAATTTCATTCACCTCCTCGTGTTTTTATTTTGCTTTTTCACATCTACATTCGCTGGTGTGCTAAGGTTGCTTTGTGATTTGAGCATGTTTGTGACCTGGGTGCATCTGGGGGAATGGTGTGAGGAAGCCAAGCTTCTCGCACTTGTTTGCTGGGGGAAACTTGACCCGGGCGAGTGGCGGCATCTGAGCCACAGCCTCTTTGCTCTGTGCTAATCACTGTGAATGTCACAACACGGCTGGGTTTTCTGCTGGGCGCAGATTGGGTAGTGATCGGATAGTGTGGTACAGCTCAGTTGCGTACAGCGCGTGGGATTCCCTTCCCTGGGGCTCGGAGCCCCTCTGGGCTGCAGCTAGCAGAGGGACACAGCTACCCAGTCCTCACTGGGAGTGTTCAGCGTGACTGTACAAGCGCTAATGAGCAGTGCAGTCGTGGGCATGGAGCGGACCTGACTCCTTCCATACTTCCTTGGAGAGCTTAGCAGGGCAGCAGCTCTCCTTGAGGACGTATAGCTCCTATGGGATTCTGTGTGGGTCGTTCCCACCTCGTACAGCCTCTGATTGGGATGCTGCTGACCTGATGTGCGCTGGAGACTGGGGCCTGATTCAAATGTTGAGAAGGTCTGGTGGGTGTAGGTCTGGGTGGGGTGTAAGTCTGTCTAACCCAGCTCTGTGGTGTGTGTGAGCTGCTGTCACGGTGCTACAGAGCAACACTGGGGTCTCCTAGCTACACTTTAACTGCTGCAGCCAAGGTTTGATTTACAGGTGAGAAAGGAGTGTGTATGAGTATTGCAAGAAAACTAAGAGGGTGATGGTTGATGCTCTGCTTACCCTTCCTTTTATACCTTTTTTTTTTTAACATGCAAGCTTGTGAGAGCTGGAAGGTGGAAAAGCAAGCCAGCCAGGCTGCTTCAGGTACAAATTCCTATTGCAGCTGTATCCAGGGGCCCTCCAGGTATATATTAAAGCAAGACAAATACGTGGCACATGTTGGTGGTTGTTTTTTTTTTCTATTTCCCTTCTCCCCAGGCAAGAGGATCTTACAGGCATGCAATAGTTTGTTTTAGGAGCATTCAGGATTATGTCTGCAGCTCTGTGGTCTGCCAGTTGCTCTTCGCAAGAAACTTTTCTGTAGGACTGCAGTGGGGAGGAACGTGTGTGTGGTACTGCCAATCTTTGCTGGAAACCGAGACATTGATGTTAGAACAGCCCTGCATTTTCTCCATGCTGCCTTCTCAGTCCTGAGTTCTTTAGGACGCCCTCAGCCCTTGCTAAGCTTTTCCATGGCATTACAATAGTGAGAAATGTGTTCCTTTTAAAAGCAAAGGCTGAGGTTCTCACCTAGTTGTGTGACCTTGGGAGCTGCAGCTTTAAGGAGTGGGGAGAAGAAAAAGAAGCAGACGTTTTGGGGCTTGCGGTCGAGTTGGGAGAGCTGGTGGTGGAGCACATAGTACAGTTTGGAGATGCAGACCTGTGGGAGTGGGCTGCAGCTGCTGTGCCAGGTCCAAGGCAGGTGGTCTCTCCTTGCAGCTGGGGCTGCTGTGCTGGGGCTGCTGCCCCATGGCCCTGACTGGCAGCCAGGCACCCCTGTGCGTTTGCAGGGTTTTCCTGCGGACGGCGCTTTTCCTAGGGCCATCTTTAAGTCGTCCTTTGCATCCTCTGGTTTCACGTGAGATGCCAGCTCTTGCTTTGACTTGGTCCCAAGACACTCTCAGGGAGCTCAGCAGATGGAGACGTGGTTTCTCATCCTGCAGGGAAAGCAGCGTGCTGTGCTTCCCTCCTGGGGCACTGGGCTGGGTGCTCTGCCCTGCAGAAATAATAGCACCTTTCACGCTGTTGTCTTGTTTCAGGCCAGCAAAGATGCTGCTGTAGATGACTGACTTGCTTGTGCCTCATGTGCTATGGCTCTACATGGCCTCTGCGGGACCAGAACACGCTAATCTGGGCCCCAAACAGGAGAAGAGCTTCAGGCTCGAGTCAGGCACCCTTCCGGCAGGGGGAGCTCAGCCATACCGGGTCTGGCACCTCACTCAGCAGCAGGCGAAACCCATCTGGAATTTAGAGAAGAGGTATGTGAGTGCTTTCCAGGATCACAACCTGCTGCCCTCAGGGATCCCTCTGCAGCAATCCTCCTTCTTGTGCCCACCGTCCCTATGCCACACACACCCCGGTGAAGACACCCTCCCAAGCCTGCCCTTGGCGAAGCCCTGCCTGGACCTGAGTGGGAGTGCTCTGCTTTACCGACGCTCCTGCCTCAGACCCAAGCCCTACAGGTTTCCTTTCCGAAGCTCTCCAGACACCAGCTCTGCCACAGGAAGGGTGATGTCTTCCTTGCTGATGGAGCCCTGCCTGCTGCCTGCACTGACGGAGGAGCACGCTGGGACTGGGGTGAAAGGCTCTGCCCTCAGCTCAGGTCCACAGGCTTCCAGCTCCTGTAGACCATTGCTCAATAATAACTCCTTCCTACGGCCAAGCAGTGCTAAAGTGCCTTTGCTGCAGTCACCAGAGATCAAGAAGGTGAAAAACACCCATGGCTTCCCTGCTCCCCCGTGTTGCCACTCTGGGGATGATGGAGACAGCTTCCCTGGCAGTCTAGTCAACAGAGCAGTGAAAAGCAGCGACCTTGTGTTGGAGCAAACCGCGGTCCCCTCCCCAACACTTGTGCCCAGCGGTGCTATCCTCAGGAAGGACCGGTGCTCGTGGGAGGATGCTGAGAGGAGAGCACACAGCTTAAAAGAGGAGACAGAGATCAGCCTCACGGAGGCTGTGCAGGAGCTACCTGGACAGACTGCCACATGCAATGGCTTTGGACGCGACGTCGAAAGCTCTGGCCTTACAAATGTGGGCAGCCTGTCCAACCGGAACAGCAGGTGGGGGCAGCACATCATAGCGGAGCTCACCCCAAAAGAAACCGTCGCTCCTCTGAACTTAGAGCATCGCCTTAATGGTAACTCAAGCCTTATAGGCACCAATGGTGCCATCGTCTGCACTAAGCGTATCAGTGTCCATCTCTTGGCCTCGCGTGCTGGCTCTCTGGACCACAGTGCTGACTGCCAGCTTGTGAGCATGCTGAGCTCACGCAGCAGAGACCGGGTGCCGAGGGCAGAGCCTCCAGACCTCGCGGCTGTCTCTGAAGTGGCAACTCAGATGTCCACCATCCAACTGGAGAAAGAAGAGAAACAGGCCCAGGCTGTGCTCCTGGGAAAGCTTGAGTAAGTAAAGCCAGGAGGAGGAGGAGGGAAGCTGTGGCCGGGTGAGCTGGGCTGGCTGTTGTGTCTGTGTGTGTTGGGAGAGGATGCACTGTGAGCACTATGGGGGTGGCTGTAAGGATAACCATGGGCTGCATCCCTGAGCAAAACCCATCTGCGGCACCTTGCTGCAGGGGGAGCCTTCCTGCCACCCCCAGCTTGATGCAAGCACTCAGAGTGGCTCCAAGCCCTTCCACCTTCTCCTTCAGCCACAGCATGGAATCGTTGTGTGGCGTTTCTAGCTCATTCCCTGCACAGACACGTGGCCCTGTCTGCTGTGGCAGGCTCTACACGTTTGCTGGGTGAAGCATGCTGTCGAGTCAGTTCCAGCAATGCTTTTCTGGGCAGGGACATGGATTCCTAAAGGAATGCGGAGCTGATGCAGGACAGGGAGGGCACAAGGACATGGAGCTCCTGCTCTCCTGCTGGGGAAGGGAGTCCTTGTGACTCTTTCTGTCTGCTCTGGAAATGTTCCCTCTCAGGGTGCATTGGGGCCACTCCATCTTGCTAGCTTGGGAGGAGTGATTGTACACCAGCGCTGGGCAGGGCAGTGCTGTCACTCCCCTGCCTCCGTTATCTCGTGCTGCCTCATGGGCTTCTGGGTCTTTTGGTCCCAGAAAGTACATGCCACTCCTTCTGATGTGATGTCTTTTGTCCCAGTGTCACTGCTGAGCAGTCACCACTGGAGGCAAGCCATCCCCAGGATGAAGCAGAGGAAGAACTTCCTGATGGCCTGGATGAGAGCTGCAGTCAGGAGGAGGATGAGGACAGTGAGTGGTTGTTCCCTGGGGAGACCTGTGCTCTGTGCCTCGAGGTGGGGAGTGGGGGGGCCATCTAGGAGCTAGGGGTTAGCACAGCTGCCCTCCTGTCTTATATTCATGTTGTCATTTCAGGATGACCTAGAGATTGTGCTGAACCCAAAAGTGATGTAGCAGCAAGGAGGAACTGCATATATTCCTCTGGGGAGCAGGCTAGGGTTCACCACTGTCCTGCTCCAAAACTTACCCATCTCCTCTCTGTGCAGGGCTATCAGCTCCCCCCTTGCCCTGCCTTTTATGCCACCAATTAGTGAGCAAAACCTAGGATCCAAGGATTTGGGGCAGCTGGGAAGGGTCTGTCCCCTGAAGCATTTGTTTTCTCTCTTCCCTTAAGTCTGTGTGCATTCAGACCCCACAGAGACAAAACTTGAGTCTGTCCCCTCCTGCAGGTGACTCGGATGCTTCCTCTGTCGCTGGCGTGTCATCCAGTGGCTCTGTGGCTCTTGTATCCAGGTTAGTAGCTGTAAATAGTGCATTGAATTTGGAATCTTTGTCCAAACTTGTCCATCTTTGCCCTCTCTGGTGACAGAGGAGAGCTGTAGCATGTGGGGAAATGGAGTGAAGGTAGCAACAGGCTTCCCAACCAAAATGAGTGTCCTTCCTACCCTGCAGACCAAAGCTACCTCTCTTGCTACAGATGGCAGCCTGCAAAATATTGAGGGTGCATCCACCACAGCAAAGCAGGGGTCCTGTTTTCACTGCCACTGCCAGTTGCTGGGTTAGCTTTACTGGATTGAATTATGCTCTTGCAGTGCCATTGCCTTGTAGATGAAGCAGAGGGGAGGCGTCCTGAGCCAGAGATTGCAAACGCTCCTTGGGGTCTTGTGCCTCAGCATTGCATCTTAGAAACAAGTCCTGGAGCCTGGGTTTTTCTTTAGCTTTTGGAAGGAGGTTTCTCTGGGAGGGACTGATCAGCCTGTGGTCATCTGAGCCCTGCCTCTGTGACTCCTGGCAGACCTCTGTGGGACCTGTTCTTGCCCATCCAGCAACACAAGCTGGTCCTTGCAGCTATGCTGCCCCGTGCACCAGGGCTGCCTTGGGCTTTACTGTCTGCCCGACAGCTTGCTGGTTTCCATCATACCATTTACTCACCTGGGAGATGAAGAAGGCTTCCTGCGAGCAAGTGTTGAACCTTGGGGTGCTGCAGGGCTCTGGGTGTGCATGTGTGATTGTGAAAGTCCTGTAGAGGTGACGAATTGGACAAGCAGCTGGTTCTGGCAGGATGTGGCTGGCTGGCCTCTGGGGGCAGATGAGGGAAAGCAGTGCTTGAGCCTAATGCCTCCTGCGGCGGGAAGAGAGGGATGTTGGCCACTTCTCTGTGCAGGCTGTGCACTGGGCTGGCCTTGAAACCTTTGCAGCTGTCTCCTGCCTTCAGCCTGTTGCGGGCAAAACCAGTTTTGTGCCAAGGAATGTTAATCAATATAATTTTTTGCTAATTAACAAACTTTTAATTATCAGTTCTGGTACTGAAAAAAAAAAAATATACGTACAAGGACTTAGGGAAAACACCTCTTCTTCCCCTGTCCTGGTCTCCAACCCCCTCACCACAGGCTACACTCAGTCCCTTCAGCAAGGTAAGGGGTGGCCTGAGAGATTGGGGTCAATGTGTTGTGGTTCCTTTTCTTTTGTGGCTCTATTCCTTAGTGGATTGCTCTGGTGTGGCTTCTTCTACTGGCTGCAGTGGCATATATTTGAATATATGTTCATTATAAACTCTATTTTTAGTGTTATCACAACCTTAATAAATATGTTATAAATATATACACCCTTCCTCCCAGGTGTTAGGGATCGCTATGTTAAGAAGTTGTATGTACAGTCAGTAAAACTCCAGCCCTCTTCCCTGCAACACACCAAAACAAAAAAGGTTACAACAGCTGAATCATATACACATTAGAGCCTCCACCCCTTGTTCCTGTGGACTAGGTTGTAGGGTTTGTCATGTAACAAACTCCACCCCTTGCCCTGGCAAAACACAAAATCCTTGGGGGTTACAACACTTGGCATGTATGTGCGTTCATTGCAAGCTTGCTGCTGCAGACTGGATTACTGACCTTAGCGCCTGTTGCTTCCACACATTGCAATGATGCAAATTCCCAGTACCAGGATCAAGGCTCCTGATGGCTTCCCCCTTCCTCCCTGTGCTACTTTACAGTTCGGGTGACAGAGCACTGGCACAGGCTGCCCAGGGAGGTTGTGGAGTCCCCTTCTCTGGAGATTTTCAAAACCCGCCTGGATGCAGTCCTGAGTAATGTGCTCTGGGCAATCCTGCTTTAGCAGGGGAGTTGGACTAGATGATCTCTAGAGGTCCCTTCCAACTCTGAAAATTCTGTGATTCTGTGATTCACCTTTAGCCAACTGTCTACCACTTCATCTCTCCTAGGAATGGCATTGAGTGCCTGACCCAGCCCAGTGAGGCTCAGGAGAAAGTGCTCAAACCAGCTCTTGTCTGCAGTTTATTCCCTAATGTGCCTCCAACTATCTACTTCAGTACTCGGGATGAGAGAGGTGAGCCGGGGTCTGTTGCTGTGCAAGGTGAGAGTGGCCAGCTTGTTATTAGCAAGCAGTGGTGCCAGCGTGGGGCTGGGAGCTGGCTGGCAGCAGCTCCCCTTCACCCTTCCCATGATGAGACCCAGCACCACTGTGAGATCCAAGGGGTTGAAGTAAAATGACAGCTGCTCCCACAGCCTGGAGCATGCGTCAGGCTGCCACCAAATGTTCCAGCATCGTGGATCTCCCCCAACTGTGGGTTCTTCTGCTCCGTGCTTGTTCTGCAAAGGGGCCTACACACCCTCCTCTGAAGGCCTGGTGCCTGTGCAGCAAAATAAGAATTTCCCTGGGTGAAGCTGTAGAAGATCAAGGTATTGTGTGTGTCTTTCTTGTGTCCTTATCTTTTTGCCTTCTTAGTGGAAAAGCTGCCTTGGGAGCAGAGAAAGCTGCTGCGATGGAAAATGTGCACAGTCACACCGAACATAGTGAAGCAAACCGTTGGCAGGTCCCACTTTAGAGTCAGCAAGAGTAAGTTGTGGGAGGCTGGCAGCATCTGATACGTCATGTCCTCCCTCGCCTGCAGCCCGTGGGTGTGAGAAGGCAGACTGCCTGTGAAGAGCGAAGCAGGAGCGATACAGGCTTGGCTCTGTAGGATGCTGGGTTCCTGTTTCTGCCTGTTTGACCTGCAATATCCGAGCTCTGTGGGTCCTGGCAGGGCCTGATCTCCCTCTTGGCTTGTCCCTGGCATGGACCACAAGGACTTAATCCCAGGTTGTCAGGAGCTGAGGCAGCTTGTGGGGCAGCAGAGCTGTGCTTCAGCTTGTTCGAACTGTGCCTCTAGATGGTGCTGCCACTCTAAGGAGGCTGGCACTCATCTGGTGCTAACCCCAGCATCACTGTCCCTTGTCCCCGTGTGCTGAGGCAGAAGCCATCCTTTCTGACCATAGCCAGGGAGTTCTCAGGGTTGGGATCTTGTTGCTGAAGAGATGTGTAGGAGAGGGATGGGGAATCACTGAACATTTGCAGCTATGATCCATATCCTGGAGTGTGATCTCCCAGCAGTACTTACAGGGCTCCTGCGTGTGTCACGATACCTCTGCACCGACCATTTTGGGACTCTAATGTGAGAAGCAGGGCACAGCATGACCTAGGAAGTCATGCAATCCTACATGTCTGTCTGCAGTGCAGTGCTGATTAGCCAACTGCTTCGTTCACCTGCTGTAAAGCAGGAAAGTCAGTGGTATTGGGCGATTAAAGCCATGCATTTGACCCTGTGTCCACCCAGATCCCTGCAACAATCATGTTTGCAAGGATATGACCCACCTGGTTAACTGGATCCCACTCATAGCCCTTGTTTGTTGTTTCGCAGTAGCCAGTATGAACACTTTGTGCTATTGCTGTGCAGCATCTCTAGCCCCCTTCTGCTAGCTCCGGGAGATGGGGTGCTGGTGGGTTGAGAGGGCGTTGTGGGTGGCAGGGTACTCAGTCATGGACTTCTCTGTTTTTCCTGCAGAAAGCAATGACTGGCTGGGCTGCTGGGGCCACCACATGAAATCCCCCAGCTTCAGAGCCATCAGGGAGCACCAGAAGGTAGGGGATGTTTTGGGCTGACCTCCTTCACGTTCATGGAGAGTGTGTTGGGAGCAGTTTGAGTGCCCCTCTCTTCAGGGCCAGGTGTTTGCTGTGCAGGCTGTGCCTGCAGTGTCCCTTCCAGCCTGGGGCAGCCGG